AAACTACAACTGATAAACTTTATTTTAATATAAAAATAAAAATTATTTCTTAATAAAATTATAAATTTTAATATAAAAAGAAAATTATTATATTTTATTAATAAATTTAGCTTCTGAATTATTATTTTTAATTATTATTATATATAATAATATATATTTTATATATTAATATATATTAAAAATAACTTCTTAATTATTATAATATTATAATAAATAAATATTATTAAATTATAACTAATTATAATATTATGATAAATAAAGTATTATATTATAATAGTTATAATACTTATTATTAATATATATTATATATAGTAATATAATATATAATATAAATAATAATTTTTTATTGTATATTATATTTTTATTAAAATTTTCATCTTATAATAATAGATAAGAAAAATTTAAGAATTTTTTTTAGAAAATAATAAAGAATTTATTTTTAAAGTTAAAAAAATTAATAAAATAATAATAATAATAATTATTATTATAATAATAAATACTTTTAACTTAGTAATTTTAATAAATATATATTTAGCAAGTTCAAATAAAATAAGAAATAATTTTAAATTTTGATAAGAAAAAGATTATTTTGTTAAAAAAATTAAAAAAATAATAAATATTATAAAGTTACTTATAATTATTATAAAAAAATAGATATAAAAAAAACTAGTATAATTAAAAATATATTTAATAAAAAAAATATATTAGTTATTTAAATAATATATTTTAATATTGATAAGTTAAAATAATTAAAAGAAATCTAAATTATATTTAAAAATTAAAATATTATACTTTTTTAAATTTAATATATAAATAATTATAATATCTTATTATATATTTAATTATTTATTATTAAATATCATTAATAATTATTAATAATTAAAGCTTGAATAATAATAGAGAATTTTTTAATATAATTAATAATTTATTTATTTGAAATATATTTAAAGAGTTTAATTTATATATAAATTATTTTCAAAAATAATTTTATTAAATTAATTATTAAATAAAAACTAATATAAGTAAATAAACTAATTAATAATAATTTAAATAATATAAATCATTTAATATTAAATTAGTATTATTTATATATATATATATATATATATATATTAATTTTTATTAATAAATTATATTATTATTTTTTATAAAGTTTTAGATAATTAAATAATATTATTAATTAATTTAATTTATAATTATATTATTATAATAAAATCTAAAAAGAATATTTAATTGATTTAAAAGATTACTTTAATTAATTTTATACTAATAAATTTTTAATAAATAAAATATTAAAAGTTATTAAAAAAACTTAATTCAGATAAATTTATAATTATTATAATTAATATTATATTAAATTATAATATTATATATTAAAAAATATAAAAAATATATTTATATATTTATATATTTTCTATATATCTAATATATTATATATATTATTAAGCTTATTATGAATTAGTATAATGATAACCAAAAGTAATGACTCAGAGGCTAAATTTATTAATAAAACATAATGAAAACTGAAATTTTCTCTCTATATTAAAATTTATCATTTTAATATAGAGAGAAAGTTTCAGCTTTCATTATGTTTTATTAATAAATTTAGCCTCTGAGTCATTACTTTTGGTCATCACTGTATATAAATAAGTTATATATATTTAAAAAATAATATATAATATGATCTATCATATTTTTACAAAATAAAATTTATATATGTTATTTTAAAATTTATAATCTATTAAACTTAATTCAGTTCAAAATTTAAGATTATAATTTCTATATATTAATTACATGATTTTGTCTAATATATACTATCTAAATATATAAAAAATTACTAACAGATGATATGCATTTAGATAGTATCAACTGTATATTCTTAAGCATATATATATTTTGTTATTTTATCTTCTTTATAAATAATAATATTTATAATATTTTATAATAATATAATATATAAATGAATAAAATTGATTAATAACAAAAAGCTGAAAATATTATAAATAAAAATATGACATGTTTATAAAATTTTTTACTAAATATCCGATCAAAATACAGTTCATTTTTACAAAGAAATTGCATTTCTTTTGATTACTGTTATAAAATTGAAAACTTTAGAGAAAATGTTATATATATATATATTTTTACTATATAATCATTCTTTTATAATCGCATTATTGAAACCAGTCAAATTTATGATTTAAAGAGATTTTTATGATATAGGATCTGGAAAAGACTATATAGGAAATATGAGAGAAAATTGTTTGATTATTACTATATAATAAATCAATAATGACATGTATCAACAATATGGTTGTTTATAAGTTTACTATATTAATAACAAATTTAATTAACTTAATATTTTGTTTCTAAAGTAATATATCTATATTCGAGACTACTAAATTTTCTATTATAATAAAAACAAATAAATAAAATTACATGAAATTCAAAAAAATTTTGTTATACAACTTCATTTGTTATATCATTATTAAACTTGCGTTGTCCAATAAACAAACGCCAATTCGTATGAACACCACGTTCATCATGTTCTTTTAACACCGCATCAACAAGTTCATGCATTTGTTCCGCGGAAATATTCATATACTCTCGCCATCTTGGTGACATCGCTTCATACGCACCTTCGAGAATTCCTTTCCATATTTCACCAATCTGTTAATT